ATCAAGCAGTCCATTGAGGGAACTCTGACATACAATGAAATGTTAAACTCTCTAAAGAGAATGTCAAATAATACAAGCCCTGGAAATGATGGCTTTACAGTAGAATTCTTTAAGTTTTTTTGGAAAGACATAGGGGTTTTCTTGGTAAGATCTATAAATTATGCCTATGCAAAAGGAGAATTATCAGTTACACAAAAACAAGGGGTCATAACTTGCATACCTAAGGGAAATAAAGATAAACTTTATTTGAAAAATTGGAGGCCTATTTCACTTTTGAATGTGGCATATAAAATCGCTTCTGCCTCAGTTGCATTTCGTTTAAAAAATATTTTAGCAAATGTTATTAATGAAGACCAAACAGGATTTTTACCTGGCCGATTAATGGCATCTAATATTAGAATGTTATATGACATTTTATTTTATACGGAGAAGAATAATATCCCTGGTTTACTTCTCCTGATTGACTTTGCTGCTGCTTTCGACACTGTGTCATGGGATTTCATGCACCAAGTCTTAGAGTTCTTTAACTTTGGTCCATCTATACGTAAATGGATAAAATTGTTTTATACAAATATAGAATCGTGTGTCATTGTGAACGGACACATGTCTGATTGGTTCTTACTTCATAGAGGATGCCGTCAAGGCGATGCTCTGTCACCCTACCTGTTCATTTTATGTGCTGAGATACTTTCAATTCTAATTAGGAATAACAAAAATATTAAAGGTATACTAATTCAGGGTAAAGAATATAAAATATCACAGTATGCTGATGACACAAGTTTGTTTTTGGATGGTACAAAAAAGTCTTTACAAAACATAATGTTGACATTAAAATTCTATGCTAGTGTTTCAGGCCTGAATATAAATACAGAGAAAACTAAGGCAATATGGATTGGATCAAGGAAAAATAGTAATACCATTATTTGTCCAGAATATAATCTGGCATGGAATGATGAAGTATTTACTGTTCTTGGGGTCAAATTTTCTAATAATCTCTCAGAAATAGTAGACTTGAACTATGATTTAAAAATTGAAGAAATTAAAAAGCTATTTGCAAATTGGTCAAAAAGAATCCTTTCCCCTATAGGTAAAATTGTAGTAATTAAATCCCTTGCTCTAGCAAAACTAAATCATCTGATTTTAAGTATTCCAAATCCTTCTTTAGTCAAAATCAATATAATTCAAAACTTATTCTTTAAATTTCTATGGAATGAATCTCATGACAAAGTTAAAAGAAAGGTTATAACACAGGACTACAAGTATGGAGGACTCAAAATGATAGATTTGAAAATATTTATTAATAGTCTAAAGGTGACATGGCTACGAAGACTGATCAACTCAAATAGTAAATTTAGTAGTTTTATTGATGGTACATGTCCCTTCATAAGTCAAATATTTAAATTTGGTACAGACTTTATTAAGTCAAAACTTCATGAAGATATCAATCCATTCTGGAAAGATGTTTTATACAGTTATTTTACCCTTTCTGTAAACTTAAAACCTGAAAACAGCAAACAATGTTTTTCAGTTCATATCTGGAAAAATCCAGGAATTAAAGTTGGTAACTCAAGTGTGTATTTACAAAGATGGATTTCAAGAGGAATCTTGTTTTTAGGAGACCTCCTCAATCAAGATGGTGAATTTTATTCTTATGATGAGTTTACTACAACCTACAATATTAGAAGTAATTTTTTAGAATATAGGGGTATTGTAAATGCCCTAAAAAAATACCTAGAAGTTAATAATATTTTACATTTGCCCCAGAAGTTCAACTATATTATCCACATTCCTCATAGCCTGATACTTTTAAATAAAGATAAAAAAGGTTGTAGATCTATATATAAAGCAATGCAAAATATAAACCAGTATCCAAACTCTTTACAAAAATGGAAAGATAATTTGACGGCTTTTTCGGACCTTTCTTTTTTTCAAAATAATTCAATATATGATATGGTTCATAGATATACAAAAGATCAAAAAATCATATGGTTACAATTTAGAATCAACCATCGAATCCTTGCAACAAACTATTTACTTAAAAAAATGAATATTATTGATGATGATACCTGTACATTTTGTCAAAATGAATCAGAAACTTTGTTCCACCTGTTTTGTGATTGCCCAATAATAAAACAATTCTGGTTACAAGTTCAAAATTATGTTAAAGAGAAATGTAATATTGATTTCCATAATTGGCTGGCAACAGATATCTTATTTGGCAGTACAAAACTTGATATTGTGTTAAACAAAATAATTTTGATTGCAAAAAGTCATATATATTACAGTAGGATTAAGAAAATAAGGCCTAACCTAGAAAATTTTAAGAATCAAATAGTAGTCAACTATAAGATTGAAAAATATACTGCAAAACAAACTTCAAAGTATGAGTTTTTTGAAAAGACATGGGAGAAGTATGATAATTTAGTCTTTCAATATAATTCAGAACATTAATTTTCTTTTGCTTAGCCATCTCATATGTATTTAGACTGGACATTTGGTAATATTGCAATGTATGGAGCCTTCCACCAACCCAAAACACTGTTTAAAGATATGTTTTTTACTAAACAGCAGAGACGAAAGCCAAAGTAGTTTACACCAATAACCTTTTATTTGATATTTTCCCTATTTTTCCCCTCTTTCCTCCCCCCTCAATTCCCCCTCTCTCCCACCATGATCCTTCCTCCCTTCAGTAGAATATCATAGTTTTAAGCAAATTGTTGCTTTGTTTTGTGTATTATGTTTATACAGTTTAAGAAACAGTAATGATTAGTTTAAATGACTATCACACAGTACATTTTTGCTCTTTACAATTAAATATTTAAGTTTTCTTGAATAGATTGTACTCCTTGTAAATCAAAGAGACATTCAAGTTAAAAGTGACTGTCATGATTTTACAAAAACACATTGACCAATTGTTGCTCATCATAAAAAAAAATAATTGTTAAAGTTATAGCTAAGTACATTGATTTATATGTCAGTTCTATTCTTTTCTTAATGTTCTATTCTTAATGCACATAGTTGCAAAAGAGTTAAAATTTCTTTTGACCTACTCAATATCTTATAAATTTTCAGGTAAATATTGCATGATAGTTTTAACATTTACTTGAGGAAAGTAAATCTTGGTATTTTTTTTTAGTAAAGTTTTTTTATGTGATATAATTCTGTGGTCAAAGTGACATCACCAATTTTGAAATACACACTTTTCATTTGTTTTTAATAGTAGGAAAACAAAATGTGTTAAAACTAAAAAGATTACATGTTTCATTCCTATTGAACCTGATAGCAGAATGATAAGATTTATTTGAGACCATCTCAGTCTTTTGTAAAGACTCAGTTAATTGTTGTATGAGATTTTTTATTTATTTTAAGAAAAAAAAACAGTAGGTAAATATTTGATGGGTAAATGTAACAACTTTCTTTTAACATAAATTATGTTTCAAACATTTTTGTGACATTGAAAAAAAAAAAGAATACTACTTTAATTTTGCTGAAAATATTTTTTGTTCTAAAAAATATTAGGTCAAAGGGAAGCAACTCTCAAGAGGATAAGTTGAAACAAAAAAATGGTTATCTTTTTCAAAATGAAGTATTTTGATAAACTTTTATTTTACTTTATGTTTTAGAAAGTCTTTGGAAAATGTTTGCTTTAGGATTATTTCTGTATAAATTTGTTTGTTATTTCTCTTCTATGTTATAAAAACAGAAACCCCATGAACGTACTACAAATTCTAAATAACACTTTTATACCAGTCATGTTAAAGTATATAAAATTATATGTAAAGAGTTTTTGTAAGGGGCAGTAGGGATGGTTCTCCGACCCTACTCTCCAAATTTGACGGGGATCAATAAACGGGCAAAACTTGTTTTTGCTGAAATTACAAAAAAAAAACAAAAAAAAAAAAAAAAAAATAAAAAAAAAAAAAAAAACATTGCAGTTACAAGTAAGTAAAGTATTTTACACGATTAAGTTTTCAATCATTTTGAAAAGGATAATCACATGACTCAAGTTGTTATTCATATATTCATTATGAATGGAGAACATTTCACATCGCACATGACTTATGTAACGCTTTGATAAAAATTTTTTTCACAAATCGTATGGCTGTAATTCTTTAAAAAATGTATAACATGACACAAGTTTTTTTCAAAATATTCAATATAAATGGAGTACATGACATATAATACTGATATGTCCGACAATGGAAAAATTCTAATATTCCATAAAGCAAACATAAAAGGGCCACGGAAAAGCCAAATATTTGAAAGTTTCAAACTGCAACGTCTTTTAGGCTATCTGGAGCATAATTCATTCTTAACCCCGAAAGTATTAAAATCACTAAATCGAGAGTACCAGAACAATTTTGATAATATCACTGATATAAAATAGAAGTTTCAAATACAGATGTACAACAATAGAAAAAAAATAAAACATGAACCCAAAAACAAAATAAGATATCAACCCTACGCAATTAATTAATGGAACAAACAAACAAACATACAAGCAAACAAATTAACAAATATCCCAAACTCTTGAAAGGCTGTTCATCTACAGCATATTTTATATCGTCGCATGGAAAAGCTTATGCTTATTTAACGTTTATAACCATACAAAAGCAACAATATATACAAATATATATTGAGTTACCTTTATTCCGAATCAGTTCACGTCTTCTCTGTACTATCATATATATTGAAAATACCACCATAGCAACTATGATTATTCCAAGAACTGTTCCTATTATAAGCATCGCAGTGTTGTTTGTCTCAACTGTAGTTTTCACTGAATACCAAGTTAAATAGAAAAGTTTATTTAAATAAATGCACAGCCAACAGATTTATTTCTTAGGGAAATGAAAAACATATAATATAAATGAAAAACACTGATCAAACGTAGTAAGATAAGATTGCAAAGAAACACAAACAAATTTCAATGTACAATACCTGCATACTCAACTGGACATGTTTTAAAAACTCTAGTAACCAATGATAGTTTGGTTTGTTTAAATGTTGACATGAAAGGTCGGTGTTGATGACAACGATGGCAATTTAAAATTGTTACCTTTGATTGGAGAAGTGGTAAAATAAAGAGTTTCCGACAAAGGGCTATTTCCCTCCTCGTTATATGCATATAGTCGAACAAAGTATGTTGTTGAATCAAAAAGATCTGTCAAGATTGTGGAAATACGGTCTCTGTCTTCTGTATTTCTGTCAAACACTTCTACGTCATTCCATTTTTCATCTGTTCCTAGTTGTATGACGAATGTTTGTGTCAATCCTCCATTGTATCCACGCCTCCACGACAAACGGGCCTTGTTATGCTGAATATAGTCTATTGTAAAATCACTAGGTGAAACTGGCGGCTCTAAAATGAATACATTTTGACAAACGGAAATAAGCACAACTTGTTCACATCAACAAATGTTGATTTATTAAATCAGTGTCTGTCATTGTGTCATTGTCTGTTAACAAAATGCACAGCTATGACGTTCCTATTCACAGAAATAGTCAAACACAACAACCTTGCATTGTAAAACATATAAAATATTTTTTATATCGTGTACAATCGAAATTTCCCTAAAACAACGTTTAACAAGTACAATGTTGCTATAAAATGTAAATTATCTTCTTATTAATAATAAATGACTTACTTGTCGGTATTATTTCAAACGATTTGTTACTGGATCCTATAATGTTTGATACAACGACATAATAGAATCCATAATCTTCCTCGGATTTTATCTGAACAGTAAAATAAGCTCTTGTTCCTTTTGCTTTGATTAAATGTGACAAGCTCAGCGATTTTTGGCCCAAATGTGATATTTGGGCGAAAATGAGTTATGACTAGTTTGTGGTAGAACAACATCTGCTGAATAGCTGGAAACAATTAATTTTAAAAAATACTTGATATTTTATGAAATATTCGAATTTGTATAACATCACCATAACAACAAAAATTACATTTTTAACTTTTATTGGTATATGCAAATTATAAATAATTCTATTGTTATACACAATAAAATAAAATAAAAAATTAAGTGATCATTCATCTTAGTGTAATATATGTAATATCTTGATATAAAAACAATCGTTTGTTTTAAAAAAAAATCGGTTGCCATGGCAACAAAAATATAAAAAAATCATCAAATGCAATATTTTTGCACTTAACATGATTAATTCATCACCAAATTAATGCATATATTATATTAAAAGACAACAATATTAAAGACTTTTCAGAAAATAAAAAGGATTTTTCATTTTACCCTTTAATAGTTATTGATATTAACTTTAAACATAAGAATTAAATACTCAGAATTACAGTAACTTTTCCATGATTAAGGTTAATAACATAACTTAAGTTAGTCAACTTTAAAATACACATCTATAACATGATAGCATATACAATATGAATCCAATGCAAAACAAATATTCTTTAATGCACTGATTGCAAAAACGGTGTATTTTGGTTGCCATGGTAACAAAAAATGCAAAAATAACTGAATGATTTAAAATAATTGCATTTTATAAAAAAATATTCCTTTTCACAATAACTTCAAAAGTCTTTCAGAATTTTAACCAAAAAAATAAATAGAAAGGGCTTGCACTAGTTATGTTCCTGACTAAATTTTCAGTTACAGATATTGACAGTGTAATCATATTCTGATCAGTGTGTTTTAATTAAATTGTATAATATGAATAACATATTAGTATATTTTTAAATTGAAATAATTTCAATTAATTTAAAACAATTACAATAACAGACTCTAGCAATCACATGGAAAGTCACAAATGAGAGTTCACTTATGTCCTTGAATTAAAGTCTTGCAACCCCATGTTGAGGGTTTGACCCAAACAGGGTAATAGCAACTATGTCTCCTCATATGTCTTCAGTTTTTGTAAGCAAAAAGTGATTCATATATAAAACTTGTTTCACAATTAAGTAAAAATACTGTAACACCTGCCACTGTATTATTCAGCTTTTTCAGGGATACTTCTAAAGACAAAGTCTATGAGAATGTAATTCACTTTTGGTATACTGTCAAACATAGACAAGTCATTGACTTCTCACATGCCATCCTGAAATAACAAAAACCTGAATAAGTATAAATGAAACAATATAGTGTATATGATGATTTAACTACAATATAGTGTATATGATATTTGACTGAACAGAAATGAACTATAAGTAAATTGTTGTATAGTGTTGCACAGCTATTGGGTTCATATAATGTCTTGTTCATCATGTAAGGTCTTGTGTTAAATATATAACAGTCTATATAGCATGTACAAGTGGCAGTAACATTCATCTTGAACATGACTAAAATAATCTAAATCTACATATGTGCATGTATTGTGGTTGGAACACCACACTCTTTATTTCAAAAGTAAAGAGAATGTGGAATATTGCATAAATATACATGCTTACCCAATTGAAGTGTTTTTTATCATGACCAATACAGTACCGTTGATACAAGTGATTGTCTTTTTTACTCCATAACCCCGGTGCTCAATAGGGCATAGAACTATGTCACACATTGTGCCTCCATTCCAACAATAGTTTAGTATATTCATCAGCAAATAGGTGAACTATCTATGTCTTCTGAAAATTATGTATATATACTTTAAGAGCTTAGCATTATTGACAGAGTATTTGCATAAAACAATACAGCATTATTTTTAAATATAAACTTAAAATTTAGTTCATGTTACTGTACAGACTGAGAGTAATGTAATTTTAAAACAATATATTTAAAATCTCATCTAACTTCATATATAAAATGCTAAATTGCAAATAAGTTGCATTACTTTCAACTGCATTTCAGGAAATTTATCAATACCATTATTTGATAAAAAGGGTTGAGAATGGTCAGTTTATGATGATTGTTTACATATGTATACAAAGATTACATTCATAGTAAATCATTTGATCTTTAAACCAAGTATCAAAACACTTACAAGTACATTTCCTTGAAGAATATGGCTCCAACATGCTGGATAATCATATTATCTACTTCAAAACTCTGATGAACTATGTTGAAGATCTTAAATGTATGTTCAATTGGCTGTCAGACCTAAAACAACAACACAAAATATTTCATCAGCAAAAAGTGCTGGCTCATAAATGTTAAAAATATCCTGGTAGCAGGGCTTCTGTTATTAAAGTTTGGGAATCATTTACATCTTGATTTTGGCTTCCAAAATGTAATGCTTTTCATTCTTTACCTACAAAGTGACTTCCAATTATATACAGTTTGCAGTCTTTGACTGCCAATGTTTGGAATTTAACGGAAACCCTGCTGGTAGAATATGCTATGTGGTATTAGTAATGTGAATATAATATGATTTATTGTAGATACTACCAAAGGCAAAGGGCTAATAAAAATAAATGCATTTTAATATTTATCTATGGTCACATCTTCAATCACAGTACCAGATATATTCATTGTATTTCAAAAGCAGCATGCAGTACAGGGATAACATTTCCTTTACTAAATTGATCTTGAATTGTAATAGAAATTCATTTGTCAATAATTACAATACTGTACTGAAGCCTTGTCATATATTTCCTTTTTTAGAAATATTTTATACACTCAGTATAAATCTACTTGATGTAGATCTATGTCAAGCTCATTCATTGTAAACAAATTGCAAAATATGTTATGTGTCCAGTTACACTTTTTGTCATAGTGATGTGTAAACAAAAATGAAGTGCCAACTTATGTTTTCATTTTTCTTTTAATGTATCCCAAAAAAATATGTCTGTCATGAGCTGACCTAGATGCCGGTGTAACGTTGTAAAGTGACCCCCATAGAATAATGACCCCCCGGTCATTATTTTATATAAAATAATGACCCCCCGGTCATTATTTTATATAAAGTATTGACTCCGCGGTCATTATATTATGACTGGGGGGTCATTATATTATGACTCCTCACACGTAGAAAAATGACCCCTCACGTAGAAATGTGACCCCCTATAGAATAAGGACCCCCCAATCCAAACCTTGACCTAACCTATCTAAGGTACTCTTACACAACATAATTATCTTCATCCATAGACATCGGAGGAGTGATGGCACCCGTCCGTGCATGCGTCCATACTGCACGCTTTTTTTTTTTACCGCAGTTAGATGGAATTGATCCAAGCTTCAGGGATTACCACTAGGTTGTGTGGAAAGAAAAAATGGTTAAAGTCTCCGACTGAGAATCACTTGCCCCTCACCGTTGTGAGTTCGACGCCTACCAGGGTCGTGTATGGGTGACAGGCATACAAACTGTGCGCTGCTCAGTTTATCATTTAAAACATAGGCGATGGACTGCATAGGAACGTTCCATCAACAAAATACGCAACTACTTGTTGTAATTTACGGCCTGTTTGAATATCAATCATCAAAAATATTTATAATCACAGAACTAGCTAGTTTTCAGGGGGCGAGGGTGGCTGGATTTCAATCTAGTATCGTTGGACTTCTTACCAGAACTCGTCTAATCCTGATCTGATGTAACATACTTCGATAGCGTCCTAGCCTGGGAATCGAATCTGGGCAACTGGATTAGGAGTCAACTATATAAACCTCTCTGCGATTGAAATCAAATAATTATTAATTATGCAAGCAGAATCACTGTAAGTGCACTGTAAGTGACAAGTGTTTGTTAGTGGTTTGAATCATTTTCGTAGTCATCAAAGTTGAATAGTGAGTAAACGTCCCACACAGTTAAACTAATGGAACTAGCAATGATGAATAACTTAAAAATATTATCCCTGTTTTCTTTTCATGACCATTCGAAAAATGGTTTTAGAAATCATTTAGCACAAAAAGGATAAGCAATTCATGCAAAAGATCTGAGTTACAGGTTAATTACAGCAACCTCTTATTATCATAAATTTTCTTTCTTCCCCAGGACTGTGTACCATTGGAACAACATACCACTTACTGTTGCCCTCCTCCCTACCCCTGAGCAGTTCAGTGCAGCTATATCTAGCATTGAACATGTCTCGCCTTAGTTGTACAGCCCGCTTGCGGTGAGCTCGACTTTGTCGCCACTTTTTGCAGTTTGGTTCGGTGTATGTGCGTACTTCCGTCCGTCCGGAATTGTCCGGCCTATATCTCGCTCATTTTTTGAAGGAATTCAAAATAACTTGAGATGTATGTTTACCTTAATGAGAAGACGTGTCGCGCTCAACACCCAGATCCGCTCGTCAAAAGTCAAGGTCACACTTACGGGTCGGCGCAAAATCCGTTTCTCGGGCATATCTTCTATATGGATGGAAGGATTTTAATATAATTTGGCATTAATGTGCTCCATAGCAAGGCGGTGTGTCGCGCGAAAAATTAAGGTCTCTGCGTCAAAGGTCAAGGTCACACTTAGAGTTACAGGTTAATGATAGCAACCTCTTATACGTACCATTTGAATAACATACCACTTACTGTTGCCCTCCTCCCTACCCCTGAGCAGTTCAGTGCAGCTATATCTAGCATTGAACATGTCTCGCCTTAGTTGTACAGCCCGCTTGCGGTGAGCTCGACTTTGTCGCCACTTTTGGCAGTTTGGTTCGGTGTATGTGCGTCCGTCCGTCCGTCCGGATTTGTCCAGCCTATATCTCGCTCATTTTCTGAAGGAATTCAAAATAATTTGAGATGTATGTTTACCTTAATGAGAAGACGTGTCGCGCATAACACCCAGATCCGCTCGTCAAAGGTCAAGGTCACACTTAGGGGTCGGCGCAAAATCCGTTTCTTGAGCATATCTTCTATATGGATGGAAGGATTTTAATATAATTTGGCATAAATG